ACAGCAGAGGTCTTAAGAGCCCGGACACAACAATCTGACAACAAAGAACTGACAGCAGCCGAAAAATCCCAAAAATGTATTTAAAAAAAATAAATAAAAATAAAATCTCCTTCATCGTCGTCGTTTGCGACCCACCCATCCAATCCCACGCCCACATGGGGCACGCCCCACACTTTGAAAAACGCTGGGTTTTTTAGTTGTCAATTAAACACGGCTGTTAATGCATGTAATAAAACCCAGCAAGAATCAATATGAAGTTATACTACTGACTGTATACGCTAAGCCAATCATGCTTTGCAGATATTGGACATTACGGGTAAGACAAAAAAATAAACACGTGACCCTCTTTTAATGAATTATACTGTTTTGATGTCTTTGTCTTGAGAAGCCCAATAAAAAACCCAGAATAAAAAACGCAGAGGCAGAGCTTTACTTCTTCAGGTCTAAAAATAGACTGCAGACGAAAGGCTTTGGCAGCTTGCTTTAATGTGCGTGCCAAACAGAGAGGCAGCAGCGAACACACCTGTGTACAATGCATCTCCATTTAACATAAACTATTTACTATCCACCTACAAAAAGGTAGAGGAGCAATTTACCAGCCCAGAGTATAAACTATTTTTAATAAAAATTCCAAGAGTGAAAAAAGACAAAAGGGGTACAGGACAGGAACGTGAAGATGAAAACGGACAAGGGGAAATAAAAAGCAACAAATCATCAAAATGAAAAAGGCACACTGCCTGCTAGCTGAAAGATTTTTCACAATAATCATTAAAAAAAGGAAAATCTTACCTTTAAAAGGTCCCCTATTATATCGGTTTTCATCAATATATTATAGGTCTCAGATATATACAAAACATGTCTCTGAAGCAGCGTTTCCAGCCAGGGGGGGCGTCTTTGCGTCATTTGACACCCTTATTCAGCTCGGGACGCCTGTACGCGAGCCGAGGGGCGTCAAAACAAATATTAATAATTCGAGAGAAAGATCGAGATTATTTATCGCTTGAAATTACGAAAAGGAAAATAAGGACACCCTCTGTTGGAGGGCAAAGGAGTCTGGTGGGAATATTTCGGAGTAGGTATTGAAGATCGTTTCTCCGACATCGAAGGATGCCTGCTCCAGACAACAGGGAACGTGGCGCGATTTGGACGCGACGAGCGGCGGGGTTGATGGAGCGGGGGGGGCGTTAGTGGCACGCGCGTGGAGCTGCCGAGCGACGGAGCCTCGCAGTGGCGATACGAGCCGTGGTAAACTTGGTAACATGAAGAGCCGTTTGGGAGGCCGAAACAGCCGGCGCTTTAAAGAGCCGAGCAAATGATCCCGGCTCACTAACGTAAAAAGACAGTATCTATAAGGGACGGCTCAATTAAATTCAAACCATAACCTAACCATGAATATTACAAACAGGATTGGTCACAAGCGCAGCCCTGGCGGAGGCCAACCCTCACCGGGAATGGGTCCGACTTACTGCGAGACTCCGGACACAGCTCTCGCTTTGGGAGTACACGAGATTGGATGGCCCTGAGCAGAAACCCGCGTCACCCCTACTCCTGCAGCACCTCACACCAGTGATCCGCCCCTGGGACGCGGTCCTACGCCTTCTCTAAACTCTACAAACCACACGCCGGAGGTGTGAGTTGAAAGGCCTCCTGAACTTGGCTCCCTCCTCCCTCCAGACCGTTCCCAGTTTACCCCGCACTACACGGTTTGGGGCCTACCAGGTCGCTGTCCAGAGCTTCCCCCGCCACTCGACCCAACTCACCACCAGATGGTGGTCAGTTGAACAACTCCGCCCCTCCTCTTTACCCGCCGCGCCAAAACATACGGCCTTAGGGTCCGATGATACGATAATGGAAATTGATCATGGACCTTATGCCTAGGGTGCTCTGGTAATCATGTAGACTTATGAGCTCCTTATGTTCGAACATGGTGTTTGTATGGCCAATCCATGACTAGCAACAGAAGTCCAGTACAAACCACCACTCCGGTTCAGGATCAGGGGGACCGCTTCCTCACAACACGCCCCTCCAAGTGGTCTCCATCATTGCCACATGGTCGTTGAAGTCTCCCAGCCAAGATTAAAGAGTTTGGTGGCATAAGGCACAGAACAAACAGTCAGAGTTTTTCCCTCCCATAACCCCGCCAGGCGTAGGGAGGCGAACCACTGCTCGTCACTGGGGTAAACTCCAACAAAGAAGCACCCAACCGGGGGCTTGTGGTATCCCCACACCCACCCCGGCGCTCACACTTGGGCAACTCCGAGAAGAATAGAGTCAACCCCTATCCAGAAGTAAGGTTCCAGAGCCGACGCTGGTGCGTAGAGGTGGAGCGCCACCAGATCCAACTGGTAACTCTCCCACCTCACCGCACAAGCTCCGACTCCTTCCCCCCCCAGAGAGGTGACGTTCCCACGTCCCCAAAGCCAGCTTCTGTCGCCCGGAGTCTGGTCCGTCGAGACCCTCTGCTTTCACTCAGCCACCTTTTCTGGCAGCGCACCCGACCCCATCGCTGTCCCGTAGGTGTGGGCCCCACGGACGGAGAAGCGGAGGTGTTGACCAGTGTGACCAGTTTGCACATAGGTAACCTTTAAGTAAATGTATATTAATTCTTTATAACTAGTTAATACTCCTCAAGTCGTATATTTCAAAGGCTCTTGTGTTAGGCGAAACGATGGCGATGCATCCTGAAGATTTAATGAGCGGGGAACATGGTGACTTACAGATTGACTGGTCTAGCCGGTGAGAACCAAAAAGACAGTAATGCCCACCTTATGAATAAAAACATGAAGTGGGAGCAGACTGAGTGATGGGGCGGTCACCCAATGTTCATCCTTCTGGACCAGTGGTGCACAATTTCAAAGGCAAACACAACCATTCAGAGTGCAGACACACACACACACACACACACACACACACAACACACACATCACACACACACAACACACACACACACACACACACACACACACACACACACACACACACACACACCACACGACACACACACACACACACACACACACACACAACACACACACAACACACACACACACCACACACACACACCACACACACACACACAACACACACACACACACACACACACACACACACACAGCACACACACAGCACACACCAACACTGAGTGGAGCACGCTGGCACGCTCACACACACACACACACACACACACACACACACACACACACACACACATCCCTGTCACGTCTCTGCTGTGTCATTTTCTCTCTGACCTGACGTGCAGTGATGACAGTATTTTTTTAACTCCATCATAATGACATAATTCAACACGTCGGACTGAAGTTCTGTGCAGAAGTTCACAATAGAAGCGGGAACTTTCCGACACTGTATGTATGACCTGGTTCTGTTCAGTAACTCCTTTGATCTATTACGGGACAGATCTCTGTTGTTTTCAGTTGTTATGGTTACCATGATTAGACTCCAGAAGTAGCTAAGGCTCCAGATATCAAAGTTTGGGTAAGTGCTATGTTAGCATCAGTCTGTGCACACTGACGGAATAGATTTCAAGCATAGATACAGTAAGAACCTCTTTTGAATAAAACGTATTTCAATTTAATTTAAATATTTTTTGTATTATAATTGTGTTTCCTGTAACACTGAAATTATATAAAATGATGGTAGAGATTTAGTTGATGTTGTGTTAAAATCAACAAGCTACAAAACTTATTTCAAAACAAGACGATAACAAATAAAAGTATGGTTTGTAGAGTGCATAAAAGAAAAACATATTTATAAAGTAGTAAAAAAAAAAGTAAAACACAATTTTAACTGCAAACAGAGTCACAGTGGTACTTATCAACAAATGAACTTCACTTGTCGTCATTGTTGCTTCTACTCTTTCTAATCTCCCTAGTTCCAGTCAGCTTTTAGGACTTTCTATGATGAGAAATGTACAATCAAATGTAACTTATATATAGGGTTGTGAACCGAAACTCGGTTCCAGATGAGAACCGATAAGAAAATGCCGGGTACCGGGTACCCATACAAAATACACAATTTTGGTTCTGCTTAACGGTTCCTAAACGCGGTAGACCCTGTATTCCACGGGTCGCCGCGGCCGTGGAATACAGGGTAAGGGCGGATTGGCCATCTGTGTGTTCTGGAGAATCACAGAACGGCCGGTCGTCAGCAGGCCGTTGACGCTGACGTCCGGCACCGCCCTTCATTTTTTTAAACGGCATCATGTAAGTTGCGTTGACAGGCGACAGAGGTCCACAGTTGCCCCGCAGCGAGGCTCCCCCCGCCCTCCCGTAGACAGTTCACGAACTGTCACTTCATAACACCAAAGATGGATCGCGGTAAACGCTCTAAAGTGAGACTCCACTAACTAACAAAGAAAAAGACAAGGCACAGTGCAATGCAATGCCTGTTAATAGCTTTCCACAGGCATAGCTCAGTTAAAATAAAACACAGCTATTGTGCAGTACATTTGTTTTGCATGAATATTTTTTATTTGTAAAAATGTCAGTTAAAGCTTAAAAGAATAAAGATATTTTTGTCATCTGAACGTTTGAACTCTTGCTTTTACAATTTTGGAATCGAAACGGGGAATCGATAAGAACCGGAATCGATAAGCAGAACCGGAATCGATACATGTCGAACGATACCCATCCCTACTCATATAGCCCAGCATCATGAATTAAAAATATGTCTTTACAATCTGTTATGCAAACAACATTTTCTGGCATTTAACGGGAAAAAACTAAAGAATGCCAACAGAGAGAAACATATCAGTCCTGAGCAGTGGGGGCATTTTACACCGAGACAGGTGAAAACAGAGTTGTAGTTGATTAATTCAACTCCCCTTAATATTGAAATGTATGACAGTATGAGGGAAAAACCAACTGTAGGACCCTTAATCAAACCCTTATTTCTCTCACCAGCTACCTCTGTTGGCCATAAACCCAACAGCACAGCAGTGATTGACTGGAACTCATGCATTCAGCTAACACTGGAGTACTCACTGTGTAGTTTGGGTTTCCAGCCTGCACCCTCAGCTCAGCCAGCACCCAGATGCCGTTGGTGAGCTTCATCGACTGATACAGCATGTCCTGACCCTCCACGGTACGCTTAGCTATGGTGAAGATGTTGCTACCTTGCAGTTTGTTGGAGGCTGCATCTGTTGTAGGAACATAATCATCAAACATTAAGAAAAGTCTAATTGTTAAATGTCTCCCTGCAGTTACACTTTCCATTTTTAGTATTAGATCATTAAACGTTCCAGAGAATGAAGGATTTATTTGTCATCCATTGAAACATCACTCCAGACAAAGACTTAGTTCTGAATGACTTTCTTAGACTAAGTTTCCTCCTCAGCCTCCGTCTTGCCGCTGCTTCCCAGAAGGATGTTAAAGTCTCTCTCTTTGTTCATGAAAAGTAAATGTAATCTGTGAGGGGAAATCTCCATTAAGCCGTCATTAGGAATTCTCCTCCAGTCCAGCTGTTCTCACGCTTTTCTAAAACTGAACTATAGGGGACTGCAGCTGATGAGTTCTCATTAAATGTGTTTTGCTTCATTAGCGTGTATCTGAATTTGCCCCTGCTCCTCACATTCAGCAGCAGGATATGGCTGCACCGTGTAGTGAATTCAGGCGTAACTCTGTTCCCTTTCCTCCCGTCTCACCTGAGTTGAGATGGCAGTCTTTGATCTGAAACTGGGACTCGTTCTCATTAGGAATGTCTTTCCATGTGGCGAGGAACACCTGGCGCTCTGCGGACAAGAGACACAATCACTGTAAGACAGACTGAAACGCACACAGTATCAGAATTTAAAAAACAGTTTGATGCTCCGTATTGTGTCGCTGTCTACTTATACTGTTTAAACCAGATATTTATGCACAGTTGCAGATAAAGATTAGGATACACTTATATTATCGTTTCATTTGTAGGATTACTTTCCAGTGGTGGTGCACAGGATTGTTTCTGAGTTGTGTAATACAAACATTTCCACAAAGTCAAGAGGGTTGTTAAGTCCAAAAGTCAAAATGTATTGAATAACGACAGATGTTATTATTTCCATCATTCATAGCGTGATTTTATCCAACTCAGTATTCCACTTCAATGCATATTTGTTAGCTTTAATCTTTCCAAAACAACATGTTTACTCCTGTAATAATGCTAAAGTCAAGCAGAAATCTAAATTACATTTATGTAACTACACTAATCCGATGAATCTCTTCATCCAAATAGACGATTGTTTTTGTTTGTCTTTAAAGGTGAAGAAGCTTCTAACGTAAATTTGTCAAAGCCCTCCAAAATTGTTTGATTCTACATTAAACAAAAGGGTTCCCAGCTGCGCTTTTGAGGCTCCACCGGGAGAAAGGGCATTGTGTTTCAACAGATTCAATCAAAAAAACATCAAAAAAACATCAAAAAGGAAATGTTGGCACGGGTGAACAGTGTAGGAGCGACGGTGCAGCACACAAGGTGAACGAGTGCAGGCACACACGCACCTACGTCACACACATACGCACACACACACGCACCTACGTCACACACACGCACCTACTGTACGTCACACACTGCTACACATAGTCAGCACAGCCTCAACAATGGCTGATGTGTGTGTTGGTGACGTCAGCTGGTTTGAGTGAAGAGGTTTATCACGGACACACTCACCCATCTTCCCGTCCTCCAGGAACAGCATGCTGATGGGGTACTGGCAGCTGAAGTAGAATACGTCAATGTTGTTCTTCACAGCCACCTGCGAGAGTGATTACATCCGGGGGGGGGGATGACAGGAGGAGAAACAAGAAGCAGAACACGGGTAATTACTTTACAAGTGCCCTTCGAGGATTGGCATTGCTGGGGTCTGCGTGCTGTTTACTGAACAAGAGGGCAACCATCCTCTGGGTGTAACGGCCCGTCCACACACAGGCATGAAAAAAATCTTGAAAAATCTTGATGCTGGGCGTGTCTGAAGCTTGGCGATTTTTTGCGAGCAACGCGACCAACAACCAATCACATGAATCTCCCGCCCCCGACATACAAAGCAATAGCAATGTTAAAACGAAGTAAACTGGATATAAACTCCCCAAACAGGCGAAAACCTACCAGTTTCACCCACTGTCTCTGCCACCTCCCTCCATGCCTGGTTCCTCCGGTTTGTATCCCGGTAAATAGTTCTGGTCGTAAAGAACTGGGTGATTTGCTACCGTAATTTCTCGTTTGGAATATGAGGAAATGAACTGCGGTCTGGCTCTCCCAGCTTGCACGCGGTTTGATTGGCTAGCGCTTGTACTGGCGGGATTTGCATAAACGGGATTTGATTGGCTGATGCCAGCTTCGAAAGCATTGGGAGCATCAAAAGTTGAACATTGCTCAACTTTTGATGCTCACGATGCTTGCAAAGCCATACTCCGCTCCCCACAATGCAGTTCGGCGAAGATTAAAAATCTTCTACGTCACCCCATTCAAGTGAATGCCTGTGTGTGGACGGGGCCGTAAGTGGTGCACTAGTCATAACTTTAGTTTGGTCTTAACCTTCGGTTCTACGTCGGACATAGAGTTACGACCAGTCTTACGGCCAGCTGGTGCACTCCACTCCTGATGTCCCAAACAATAGGACATTGTCTGTTCAAAAGGCTATGATTTACAGCAAAGCAACCTATTATGTAGACTTAGTGGGCCACTAACATGTATCAAAAATTGTACACTCCCCCTCCCTACTCCCAGTTGGGCTTCATCTTGCAGAGGGGGCCCACAGTTGTGTACAGACCCGAGGGGCCTAGTGAAACACCTTTGCGAGGGGCCACAAGTTGGCCAGGGCCAGCCCTGGGTGAAATCAGGACAGCAGGAAAAATACACAGACTTCCACTGCACATTGGCCATTCAAATCTTTATAACGTTGTTGTACTAAAAACTGTTTGGGTTTATTTAAGCTAATGTTATTCCTTGATTCCTGCTGTTCTGAATTTTTAGAGGGGTATGTGTGTGTTTGTGCCAATTTGATTATGTGTGTCTGCCTGTGTGTATCTTTATTGTCCAGTGTAAAATGCCAACATACCCACTTGGGACAGAAAAACTGTCGATGTGGACATTATTCCAAAATGACTGTGTGTGTGTGTGTGTGTGTGTGTGTGTGTGTGTGTGTGTGTGTGTGTGTGTGTGTGTGTGTGTGTGTGTGCGTGCGTGCGTGCGTGCGTGTGTGTGTTGTGTGTGTGTGTGTGTGTGTGTGTGTGTGTGTGTGCGTGCGTGCGTGCGTGCGTGCGTGCGTGCGTGCGTGCGTGCGTGCGTGCGTGCGTGCGTGCGTGTGTGTGTGTGTGTGTGTGCGTGCGTGCGTGTGTGTGTGTGTGTGTGTGTGTGTGTGTGTGTGTGTGTGTGTGTGTGTGTGTGTGTGCGTGCGTGCGTGCGTGCGTGCGTGCGTGCGTGCGTGCGTGCGTGCGTGCGTGCGTGCGTGCGTGCGTGTGTGTGTGTGTGTGTAATGACAGAGCATACTGCACTGTTTAGATCGCTGTGGGACTTTTTAGTGTTTTGGTCAGACAACATCATATATCATGGTGGTTTTTATAACCCAAAGAGCTGTCGGAAAAAGAGCAGATAGGAGAAGGGGCGGGGGGCTGAGAGGAGGGTATGCAGGAAGGAGACAAGAGGAAAGAGGAAGACAACAAAGAGGAGGTCACTTGAAATATCTCAGTTCAATAGATGAAGTGGGGAAAAAAGGCCTTCTGTCTTTAATATTAAGCCTGCAAAGCCTAATTCAGTGAAAACACAAAAAAAAAGAAACACAAAAAGAAATGGTCCTTACCTTCTAGCTTTGTTAGACACAAGCAGATGCAAAAGTTTGTGGAGACAGCTATATTAAAAGACTATCAACCATCATCATAAAAAACTTAAGAAATAATATGGCTAATGTCAAGGCTCAATCATTTAAAAAATATATTCTGTATTATCCTTTCGGAGGATGCATGCAAATCAGTTTAATAAAACCTGCTATCAAGTGGACTTTACATTCTCTTTGCAAAGTCTGTCTGTGCTAAATATATCCACTCAGCAATTTGGAAATACACATATTTTTCTATCATTATTTTAAAAGGGACTCATTGCTTAAATACATCCATATTAGCAATATAATATTCTCAATAATGGCATCAACACGGCACTGCAAAACATGCAAATAAAGTTGACGCAAAAAAAACTAACATAATTGAATATTTATCACATTTTTCAGACATCCCCCTCCTCCTTTCTTTCCTAGGTTTCTGTGCTCTGTGTTCAGGACAGAGGTGATAAGCTGCAGCTTTTAGCCGGCTGACAGAGTAAAGCTTGAATGAAATGGGAATTGAATAATGTTCTCCAGCTCAGTGCCGGGAGTTTATGGCTTCGTACGCTACTTCCTGGGAGTTCCAGCAACTCCCTGTGCAACAAATAAGAGCCAATATGTTCTAAAGAGCTAAACTCAGCCAGTTACCCTCTGGACAAACATACAGCATAGCAGATACAGCATGTGTTTGTGCGTGTGTGTTTGCAGTCGTACATCATTACCTGTGCTGGCAGGTGTAATGCAGAGCAGAGTGTTAGGTTGAAGCATCAGTGGTTCAGGTCCGCACACGGCGCTGAAAGAAGAAAACAGCAACTTGAGTCAGGATCAAGATGGGTCCAGTATGTAGGACATTATTTGTAATAATGGTATAACTTTAACGTTGTGAACTATAGCATATATTGATAAATCTGAGGCATTCAATCTCAGTCCAGTGCGTTTATGAGGTCACGACAATGAGTGAAGATGTTGGAATGATGATTTTCACTAGTGCAGACATTTTTTAACAACACATATTTTTGTTCTCCCTTATGATCTTACATACGCAGTAATACCTCTGTCATTGTACACAATAAGAAGTTTCAAATTGCCATTAAACAAATATAGAAATGCTATTCCTGATGACCACCAACTGTTTTTGCGTAACCATCCATGATCCAAATTATTTGTAAAAAGTAAAAAACTTTGTGAATTAATCTTGAGAGGGTCAGATTGCGGTTATAATAAGCAGAATTGTTGGTTGGGTACTTATCTCTTTATTTACATGTAAAAGTAGGAAGAAATGTGGTATACTAATATGGGGTAGCACATTACAGATTGCAGTGTGTCTGCAAGTTCAGAATGTTTTGCTGCTGGTGTGATCACATTTTTCTCTAAAAATCTCTCCTTACCGATATACAGTAACTTGTGGATTTGTCCTTTTACCCAGGGCCTGCAGTAGCAGGACATGAGCCCTCTGGTTCTGAGGTCCCTTTCAACTAAGGGGAAAGTGGACCACAACCACACTTCTCATTCACAGTTGTGTTGTTAGGACCCGCTGCATGCCGACCTGTGCTGACTGTGCATTGCTAAATCTCTATTCTATTTGACTGTAGCTGATTTAATCTCCATGACTGAGCCCTTATCCACTGGACATACATCTTTTTGTCAAATTATTATTCACACAATCTAGTATTTGTTTGTGTGAAAACCAAATCAATTTCACACTTTTTTTGCTCTTTGCACCACTGCCAAAACGTGTTACAAAGCACAGAGAGAGACACATAATGGAGACACAAAAATGTACAGGACAAGTCTGCCGTACAGAACTAATGATGTAACTCTCTCATTCAGATTTGTGTGTGTTTTAATTGATATATTATGTCCTGGGAGGGAGACCTTAACTGTAACTGATAATATCCATTATTCACTAAAAATAGGAGATATATCTCTTGTAGTTTCTGAAAAAGGCAATAAGACAAGCCAACGACAGAAAGCTCCAGTTTTCATCACACTTAATTACTTCCAATCATTTATACGAGTATTATAAATCTGACATGAAGCCAACAGTGTGAATAGACGCAGGTGGTATAGCTACATGGATGAATTCCATACATACACAATGTTAAGCACTTTTATATGATGGAGGTCATTAACATCCACATGTAGTATTCAACTGCAGGGGTAACTAACACTAGTTTACAAGATTGAAGCTGGTCAGATAACGAACGAGTAAATGAAAACAGAATGAGGCGGAGAAGTGTGTGTGTGTGTGTGGGGGGGGTGTGTGTGTGTGGGTGTGTGTGTGTGTGTGTGTGTGTGTGTGTGTGTGTGTGTGTGTGTGTGTGTGTGTGTGTGTGTGTGTGTGTGTGTGTGTGTGTGTGTGTTTGAGAGTGTGTGGGTCTGTGTGTGTGTGTGTGTGTGTGTGTGTGTGTGGGAGTGTGTGTGTGTGTGTGTGTGTGTGTGTGTGTGTGTGTGTGTGTGTGTGAGAGAGAGAGAGTGTGTGTGTGTGTGTGTGTGTGTGTGTGTGTGAGATTAAAATAGCCCAATTGCTTTTACAATAAATAAACATTGAATGTGTTTAATTGAATAGTAAAGGAGTTTAACGTTAGTGGCAGGTTGTGTGTGAGAGAGAATAAATAAGACAGCCCAATATTTAAAAAGATTGTTATTCTTTTTCCCCGCATATTTAGCATATTTCGCAACTTTCCGCATATTTCGCAACTTCCCGCAATTTCACCGCATAAAATCACATAAAAACCCCGCATATTTAATCGCATAATCAAGGAATTTAGCCCGCATAATCAAGGATTTTTGCCTGCGTTTTTCTGGAGGGTCTAGTTAGAGAAATGCGGATTTTGGGTCCTTAGCTTTAAAAAAAAAAAAAAAGGAGGAGGCGGAGCTAATACCTGATCAGAATTCTACCAGAGATAAAGTTAAATTCTGCTGTGATAAAACGCCATCCT